AGTCAGAGTGAAAGGAGCTGCCTACATCAGCAGTGTTCTTCCCCAGAGCAGATCCCCAGGCCATGGCCCAGGCCACCCTAATCCCACTTTTCCTCTGCCCCAAACAAAGTGCATCTCGTCCTGCAGGCCTGCTCCAAACACCCCCTGCTGCCTGTTGTGCAGCTGCTACGGCTTGAATTCACTCTCTGGGGACAGATGAGGCTGCCTCCTAGCACGGGTTCCTTTGGCTACCAAGGCACTTAGGTATGGGAGGGGTGGTGAGGACAGTGTGCAGGCAGGGTGTTGAGAGACAGGACGGAGCCTTGCAGGGAACTTCTCCAACATTATTCCATTTTGTACCCAGGAAGGCTGAAGTCTAGCCCGTCAGGGACTTGTGCCAGCTGCACAGCTGGCTCCTGGCTCTGAGGTGCCCCTTCCTTTACACATCCTCTCTATTAGAGGATAGGCAGGAAGCAGTGGGAGTTTTGGGCTCATTCTTATGAGCTGGGGGTGGGAGCTGCAGAAGGAAAGAGCAGGCCCTGTGCCATCTAGCAGTTCAGAGTGCGCCAGGTCCTCCCAGGGTGCTGTGTCCTGCAGAGCCAGGGTGGGATGAGCACTGCGGGAGGTGCGTTTGCACAGGGAGGGCGCTGGCTGGGGCTGTGGGCCAGGCAAGAGCCTATGAGGGCAGCTGTCTGTGGAGCTGCTTTCTCTGTCCTGGTGCTCAAGCCCTTTCCAAGGAGGCCTAGAAGGCTTCAGTGAGCTGAAGCTGCCTTTGCTAATCACTCCAAGTGTTTTGTGCTGGGAGATGAAAGCGACAGTGCTGGGAGGCATTTCTGTTGTCCCCAGCTGAGCTGAGAGAAGCAGCTGGTCACTGCGATTCTGTGGGTCCAAGAACATGGCCGTCTGCCCTAATCTGCAGCCTGAAAGACACCAGTGGAGGGAGAAGACCCCTGTGCTGTGCAGGCCCACCTGCCTTCCCCTCTCCTTTAAACATCCTCTTCCTCATTTCCTCTTCTCAGGGTCCTGCACTTGTCAGGTTCTGCTTCCTTAGGAACATCTCTGGCCTCTGTCCCTCACTCCAGGTCTTCCCTGACGGTCTCCCACATCAACTCATGTCCTCCCTGTGTCCTGCCCTCTCTTCTCTCTGCCCCTCCTGCTTCGTCTGTCTTCCCAGCCACCCTGCAGAACCACGTCACGCTGACATGGTAGAGGCTGCCCCTCTTGCAGAGTTACATAGCCCCAGGCTGTGTGGTCCTGGCTCCTCCAGCCATTTCCCATGGCCCTCAGCAAGTTGCTCAACACTCCTGGGCTGCTCTGGATTGGTGGAGCACCCTGCAGTCCCTAGGGCTGTTTGGAATTCTGAGCAGAGCAGGCACAGTCCCTCCTATGATGCCATGTGGCACTTCCTCTTCTGGAAGAGGGTCAGCTGTGGCCAAGTCATGTGCATTGAAAAGGTGAGTGGTCTGGGATCCCCAGGAGAGGGGAGTCAGGGAAGAGCCAGGAAAGGGAGGTGAAGGGTGAGCGTGTGTGCATGTGTGTGTGTGCTCATGTGTGTATGCTCCTATGTGCCTGTGTGCATGTATGCGTGCCTTTGTGTGTGTGCACATGTGCATGTGTGTGCAGGTGTGTGAATGCATGTGCTCGTGTGTGCGTGCATGCTCGTGTGTGTGCAAATGTGTGCACTCGTGTGTGGGTATGTGTGCATGCATGGGCATTGGGGATGTGGCTGAGGAAACTAAGAGCAGGTCCAATGGGAAAAGCCTGCCTAGAGACACCCTGCACATGGCCCAGCAGCAGGTGCAGGATGAGGAGGACAGTCCAGGCCAGGCTCCCCTCCCAGCCCTGCTTCCCTGTGGGCCTGCCCAGGCCTCCCAGAATGGGGCCACAGTACTGAGATTCAGAAGGTACAACTCAGGGACTTAGGAAGGTATGGAGACAGCTGTGTGGAGCGTCCCACGTCTGCTCTGCCCGAGAAACTCCTCCTCATGGCCACAGGCATTCCTCTACTTTCAGTGAGGCCACTAGCTTATCACCTAAAGGAAATCCCACTCCTTGGGTGAGAAACACTAGCTACGGCCTGGCGGGGGGGCAAGGAAGCCGCCTAATAAACAACTGCAAATCCTAAGTGCCCAGAAATAAGGAGACTGGTGCCATGGTGGGGTGTGTGGTGGGGGAGGGGACACGTATGTAGGCAGTCTCTGTGTGGGGGTGACACGCACACCAGGACATGCCTGCATGGAGGTGACACGCACACCAGGACATGCCTACATGGAGGTGACATGCACACTGGGACGTGTCTGCATATTTTCATGTGAGTTCCTTGCGGGCAGGGACTATGTCTTATTTACTTTTTATAGCTCCAGTACTTTGCCTAGAACTTATGAAAAATTCGTATTATTTTTATGGTAGTTAATGAATCTGATGCGTAAATGAGCAGTCTTCCCCCAGCAGTTCCTATTTAAAGCACCGTGTACTTAGTAACATGAAGACACTTACGTCAAACCTGATATCCTTATGCCACGTCTGTCCTTCCTGCTTTTCTTGTTTGCCCTTCATTGATTTTTGTTTGTATCTCCACTTGAGGCCTCAAACATGTGTCCACACAGGAGAGAAGGAACACCCCCACACCCCCCCCACACCCCGCACATGCTCCCACCCGCTGCATTCCTGCAGATGCTGCAGATTCAGAAGCTGTTAAGCACTCCCAAGCAGACAGAGCCTCCCGGTGACTATCACATGCCTCCTTAAATGATCTTTGAATCGCATTTTCTTTTTATTGCTTTGTGTAGTCTAACAGCACCAATTGGGATGACTCTAACTTATGATAAACCGCAGATCTGTAAAGCTCCACTTCATTCATTATTTCCCTCTTGCTCCTTCTCAAGCTGTTATTTTTTGGGATGTAGTGAGGAGGGAGAGAGGAAGGAGAAGAAAATAAAAGGACGCCGAATTAGCAGGGAGACAAATGAAGCAGGGAAGCCCTTCCTTCTGGGTGACAGGAGCCCTATTAGATGCCGTTAAATGGACAAATATGCTTTAATACAGCACAAGTAGGCCTTTCATATTTATCCTAAATTGGAAATATAATGATCACCACCTTATCTTTAATGGGAGAAGCAGCTAATTGTTCTAATATCTCACTAATTCTAGCAACCAGGAGAAAAATAATTATTTTTTGCTATTTTACTGATTGTTCAATTTATACCAAGGTGTACTGTGTAGCACGGACAGAGATTTCTGTCTCTTGATCTATGTCATGGCTGCTATTCCAGTTCAATTATTAATGTACAGGAGTTATAATTATTTTGAGTATTGGTATGAGATAATTATAAGCCATAAAACAGCTCCCCATGCTCACTGATGTCTTCTTCCATGTTGCAGTGTGGGCACGCGAGCTTTAGAGAGAGAAAAATGTGTAACGTGGCACTTGGGGCAGGAAGCAGAGGGGCCCGTGCCCATCCCCCTCCTTTGCCTCTGCCTTCTGGTCTTCCAGAGACGAAGCTGGCCCACCTGTGTGTCTCTCCTCTGCCCACCATCTCACCCTCCTCCTGTCCTGTCTCCGCTTTGTCAGCTGAGATTTCTAACTCACCACCCATGTCGGCTCAGCCTGCTTACCATCCCCTCATCTCCTCAGTCACCAAAATCTGGGGCCACGCATGGAGCCTGGCACTTCACATCCAGTCCAGCTCCCCTACTCCCTACGAACCTTGTTTCACCTTCTCTAATGAGCTTTGCCTGCAAGAGAACATGTGCATTCAGCACCACGGACAGAGCACACGGTCGGGCCCCACAAATTAGATGCTGCTGCCCAGCAGTCTTGTCAAGGAGGCTGTTGGGAAGGCAGAGGGTGGCTGGGAAAGGGAGCAGTCAGTGACGGAGCCCGACTGGAGGACACAAAGCGCGGCCCAGCCCTAGCCCTGGCTGCACTTGGCCCTGGGGCTCCTACAGATGGGAAGTGGCTTCTTGAGGCTGCTGCTTCTAACGGGCAGGCAGTAAACCGGGGAGCGATCACTTCCTGTGTGTCACTGTCCTGTTCTGGTGACAGAATGATAGCTGGACAGGTGTCAGATCTGGGGAGCACAGGGGGCATGGGTATCATGGGTCAGGTGGGCAGGAGCGTCAGCCTAGGAGCACAGGGAGCAGTGCTGACACTATGGTGCTGACTCTAGGATCGAGCTGGTGTGGGGAGCTGCCTCCTCCTCGCCTGGAATGGGAATGAAGTGACTGGGGCCCTGGGCTTTGGGAGAGAGGCTCGTGGCAAGCTTGTCTGGTGGGAAGCCAAGGCTTCATTTGTCTGACGTTAATGAATAAATGGCATCCCTAGCCATTGTTTGTCTACTTTTTAATTCTGACAAACAGTCTGTGGCATCTGATGGAGAGGCTTATTAGCTGCACAGACAGATGGGTGGGGATGGAGAGGCTTGGGTCTCTATTACAGCAGGCCAGCAGGTGACAGCACTCCTCCCACGCCCCAGCCTCCATGCCAATGCCAACACCTTCCCCAAGCCTTCCCACTCAAGCCCTAGAAGAAAGGCAGAGTGGCCCATGAGTGAGGGGGAGGCAGGGTCTATGGAGACCGAAGGGACCATTTTCCAAATACACCTGTTTTGAGGGTGAAGAGCTCCCTTCCCCTCAGCACCGTCTCCTGCATGCTATGCAGAGCTACTCACAGGCACACAGGGAATATGAATGACGGAGGAGAAAGATGGGGAGGCCTGGGTTAGAACAGACAATGGAAGAAGAGTTAATTGGGCTGGTGAGTGGGTGGGGAACAAACAGAGGAAACAGAGAGGAAGAGACGGAGGGGACTCCAAGAGAGGAGGGAAGAGGCGTAAGGAGAGTGCCTGTGAGTCAGCACCCATGTTCCAGCCCTCGCGCTCTTCCCCACGTTCCTGTGTAAAGAATTCAAACAGGCTTCTGGGACGTCACAGGTTCTTTTTCCGGTCCCCTGTACTGTGGTTGTAGGGCACGATTTCTCCCCTCCAGATGACCCCTGAGACAGTGGGGAGATTCTCACTGACCTTCATTCATCCTCCGAAACTTGTCTTTGGCCATGTAACCCAGCACCAGGCAGCATCCTCTCTTCTGGAGGCCCAGCTCTGGAAAAGAACACAGAGGGGTGAGTTGGGGATGGGTTGAGGCCACTCTGTAGCTCTTATAAACAGGCTGTTTCTTTACTTGAGCAGCATTTGTATAGTACTGGAATAATATTATAGGCATGATTTTTTTTTGAGACAGAGTCTTTCTATGATTGCTGTGGCATCATAGTAAGTCATAGCAACCTCAAATTCCTGGGATCAAATGATCCTCTTGCCTCAGCCTTCCCAGTAGCTGGGACTACAGGTGCCCACCACAGTGCCTGGCTAATTTTTCTATTTTTAAGTAGAGACGAGGTGTCACTCTTGCTCAGACTGGTCTCCAACTCTTGGGCTCAAGCAATCCATCTGCCTCAGCCTCCCAGAAAGCCTGACCTCAGGCGTAATTTTAAGCCAGTGATTCCTCACCCTATTCTCACACCACCCTATGAGATATACACCATTATCACCCCCATTTTTATCATCTCTATTTATAGTTATTATAAAGTAAGTGGTTTTAGATGAAATAGGTAGCTGGTGGTGGAGCCAGGATCTTAAACGGAGGCAGTCCAGCTCCAGAGTTCATGCCCATAACTATTACTCTAGGTTACTGGGGAATTTTATATCCAGGCTTAGAAACCAGGTTCAGATCACCTTGGGATTGTGGCTGGACCTGTGGCGTGGATGCAGAGTCTAGCCAGGGGTGTCAGGATGGAGTGGTGCAACCAGACACAGTGGGAGACTCAGAAGGACAAAGAAGTGATTGGATGAGTTTGGGGGATAACATGAAGTTGATGGGTGAGCAGAAAATCTCTCCCTACACTTTGGAGAGGGTGAATTTCAGGTCTGGGGACTCCTCTGCTTTTCTGTAGTGAGGGACAATTTAGCACCACCAAGCACTCAGAACACAGGGGTTGGGATAGCAAAGAGACAAGACTTCACAGGGCTTTGGCCCAATTGGAAAAGCCATACAGAACAACGACTTCAGGTAGAAAATGAAAGAAGTAACATTTTTTTTGCACGATATTGTGTAAATCAGTGCCCACTGTGTGCGAATGTAGGACCGGAGGACATCTGGTCACAGGACAAGTTTTCCTTTCTGGTATTGACTCTTTAATTCTAACTTGTCTTAAGCACTTTATGGGTTCTGAAGCAATTCCACACCAAATTTCTTTTTTGACACACCCCAAGCAACCCCATGGGGTAGACAGATAGGCTGTGACAATTCACATTTTGCAGATGGAAAAACTGAGGCTCACCAGCATTATATGACCTACCACAATTGTTCTAGTCTCTCCACCCCACCTCCTTGTTTAGAAGTTGTGCAAATGTGACACCTGCCATCAGCTGGGTTCTGATTAAGGGGTGTGATATCTTAAAGAGCGAATGTGACTATAGCTTCTCCCAGGCCTCACTTGGCTGCTCCTTCCCTCAGTTTCTCAGAGAAGGAGGGTCCCCCTGAGCAGGTGGATGGCGACTTCTCCCAGGACACTGCATGTCTCTGAGCCCAGCCAGTCAGAGTACAGGCTATTAGAGGACAGGCAGAGTGATCGGACCTTCCTCCTGCCTTCCTGTCCACCTTCTGCAGCCCAGGTCCACTCACCAGCACAGCAGGATGAGAGGGAACACGGGGCCAGAGAGACAGAGGAGCCAAGCTTGGGGGCCTTTTCCCTAGAGAAAAATAAAATGTGACAGCTAATAGCAGAGTGCCACAGCCCAGAGAGGTCATTTGCTTTGATCTCCTGATTCTTTAAAGGGGTTTATTGACTATCAGTGGAGAGCAGAGAAGCAGATCTGAAGGCCCGTTTCCAAAGGCACTCACTCTCTTCCTTCCCCTCCACGCTGGTGTCTGAAGGCTCAGCCAACCACCCCCACTTCAAACATGCTAAGTTCCCCCAGCCCAGGCCTTGGCCCTTTCTTCAGGGGCTTCTGCTCTGTCGAGGGCCGTGTGGATCAAAGCCCCTTTGATGTTTACTTACTGTATTTGTGGATTCTGTCTAACAACCAGCTTCCAGAGGGAGGAAAGCCGGCTGCCGGGAGGGGCCCAGGGGAAGTATGAGATGCGAGGAGGCACTGAGCTCCCGCACACAACAGCCTCTCCACGGACACGGGGCTGAAACCTCACCAGGCTGATGCCCACAGCGTGAACCAGCCTGTCACAGGTGCGCGTGCACTGGTCACTGTCAGGACGGTATAAATGGGGGCGCACCCTATATTTGCCAGTGACTTCACACTGAAGCACAGCAGCAGAGGCTCCTAATGACAGAGAGAGTTTAGGGCCCTGCACTGAGACCAGGAGGGAGCTCAGGGGAACATAGGGTAGGGAGGGTAGAGGGGCCGATGTTCCAATTGGCCTGCTAGACAGTCTCTGTACTCTCAGGCAAATGGAAAGGGAGCAATTTCCTAAAGATTTTGGGGAGTGTGAACAAGCGGCTGAATCTAGATTCTCTATGGCTATGTTGGGTATCCCAATCACCCCAACCCCACCTCTCCTGTGTCACAAATTAGGGCACCCCTGCAGAGACTGTACATACGCAGTTATCCTAAGAGTCTCACTGACCATGTTTGATTTTTGCAAATGAGCAGGAAAAGAAGTTTTTAAAAAATCCTGATTAATAAAAGAAATTGAGGACAAGGCAATTTCTCAATGTACTTGGCTCATTTAATTTGACACGTATGGGTTAGTCTTAATTATTTAGGCAGCTACATTACAAGGCGCTAATAAGCACACTGCAGAAATTTATTAAGTGTGAGGGTTCTCTGACCAAGTCTTTGCTGATTAGAAGGAAAAAGTGACTGGGATTTTTGCAAGAATGGGCAGGTTGGAGGATGAGTGAAGGGAGTTTTGCAGGCATGAAAGCTGGCTTTCCAGACTTGAAGATTTGGGATGTTCTTTGGAGAGATTTGCAGAGCTAAATTGAAGGTCATTGGATGTATGTGAGGAAGTGTGCCAGTGGGGCCTGACACGGGCTGGGAGATCTAAATGCAGTTGTGGGGAGGTGGGGGATTGTCAGGGACCAGGGAGAGAATGGAAGGGAGCAGGAAGAAACTCCATGAGCCAAAGCTAACGAGGCTATGAGGGCAGGGTGCTGGGGTGTGACAGGAAGAACAGGAGTCTCTGTTGCTGAGATAGACCAGCCACCAGACTGTCAACTTCCTTGTCACGTGGCACCGAGATGGATGGCAGAGTCAGGTCACAGATGCTCATTCTGGAGCAAATGACAAGAGTCTTCTCTAAGCAGGCTTTGGGGCTGCCATCTTTGGCTCTGTCAGTAGCAGGACCACTCACACCCCCCAAGGTGTCCATAGAAAACCATTAACACAAAAGGAGTCCTGGCTTAAAAGGAAAGCTGTGGCAAAGAAGTGCAGGACGTCGCAGACGCAGTGGTGGAGAGCACTGCCCAAGGGGAGTGAAGGCTGAGGACCGCCGCCTGAGCCAGGGGGCCCCGACCGGAGCAAGGCCCGTTTCCTAGGGAAACCCGGGAGCTTGCACCCTGGGACTCTTGGCCTCTGGACTCCAGCAACAGGAAGGTCAGATACGTGCCTTTTCTGTCTCTGGACCCTAGTCCCAAGCTGGACACCTGACACATGGCGAGTGTGTGGAGGTCCGCTGACTTAATGAAAGGGCTGATGAGAAGATACTAGACAGTGATCAGCCCTCCTCCACAGGCAGGCTTAAGTTAGGTGAGGACGGCCGCAGAGTAGCTGCAAGTTGTAATTCATTGGATCAGGGGCTAGAGGAAGTTGGTGGATCTCTTCTTGGGAGGAGTATAAAGACATGGTGTTCTAAGTGGAAGGGTTTCCTTTAGTCTCTGAAGGCACTGAGGGGACTTTTTCTAGCCTTGGGCTTCCTTAGTTACCACTAGTAACAGTGATGACACAGTGACACTGGCTCACTTTGTGGGAAGCTGTCATTTCTCTACCACACTCCACGAGTGTGGCAGGTGGCTCTGTGAAGTGGGCAAGGCAGAAATTACCTCCTCTGTTTTGGTTTCAGAAACTGAGGCTTAGAAAATTGAAATGACAATTCAAGGGAAAAGCCCCAGCTGGTGACAGCGCTCAGGCTGAGGTAGGGGACCCCAGGGCCACAGATGCTGATGGTGAGGATGGGCCAGAGAGTGGAGACCCCGATGGACACCCTGGGTAGCACAGTGTCATGGTGGGGTGACCCCCCTCCCCACCATCCCTGTTTGGATGTTGAAGTCCAGACCTCAGACTTGTGTCCTTGTTTATAGATAAGACTGCAGAGGTGATCACATTAAACTGAGGTCATTAGGATGGGCCATAATCATGTCTGATGTCCTCACAGGAAAGGGAAACTGCAGACACAGTCAGGGAGAATGGCATCAGAACACGAGGACATACTCTTACCACCAAGGAGGGAGGCCTGGAGCAGACCCTTGCTTCGCAGCTCTCAAAGGAAACGACCCTGCCAGCATCTCGACACGGGCTTCTGGACTGTGAGAGAGAAAATGTCATGCTCGGAAGAGACATGGGGGCTAAATGACCCGGGGGGCAGAGGTAGGGGTGAAGGTGGGTGGTTGGAGGGAGGGTGATGCCTTGTCAGGGCGGGTGGTCACAGAGGAGCTGATCAGACCACTGTGTGACAATGCTGCATTTTGAGGTTTCCAAGCGAAGAGGACCCAGATAACAATGTGAGCGGTAGTTGCAGTCTGAGGGAATACATTGCGACCAGCTGTGCTGACCTCACAAGCTAAATGTCGTTTTCTGGGGAAGCACAGTGGGATGCTATGAGGCTTCCACAAGCATGGATCCCACAACCAGCATGCATTGATATGGGGGGGCCAAAAATGTACACACGGTTAAAGAAAGGAGCAAACAAGTTACATTTGACGTCAGCAATTCCAAGAGCAGAACATCAAATGCCACTTCAAAATGGTCTGGCACTCCTTGAATGACAGCTGTGCTTTTGCCATTTTCTTCGACTGTCCTTCCTGTCCTGTGGTGACACCGTGGTGACATTTCCATTCATCTAATTAATGCCATCTTTAGCGCAAACATCA